AACACAGCTTTTAATAAAACTAATACTGTCATTATAGTTTATTTAAAACTGAAACATACGCGATTTTAAAATCATAGTTTAAAAATTAAGTTTCTAATTTCTTTTCCATTTAATGAAGTCACCAAATAACTTTAATATCAAGCAGAACTTTAACCTTTGCTTTTCTCAGGCAGTTCATTAGAAAAATGTTACACAAGAACGTGGAGATTTCCAAAATAAAGAAATATTATAATAATTAAATACTCAAATAAATATTTGTTTGTTAGTAAAATACATACAGTTGATTTACAAAATAAAATACTATGAAATTTATCAACAAATCCTGAAATAAATAAATGCTAATAATAATTTATAAATACACCATTAAATAAATGTCTCCATGAAATAAAATAAATGTATTTTAAAAATTTAATGGGGATCTTATTTTGTTAAACAGGTTCATTTATTTTTCACTAAACGTTTTATTTTGTTTCATGGAGACATTTATTTCATGTATTTATGAATTATTTAATAACGGTACTATGACCGTTTACCATCAATGAAAAGAAAATTCGCAGCAGTTTCACAGAGCCTGGTTGTTACTGCCCCCTGTTGGTGTGACAGTAGAACTACATTAAACAACAGAACAATAATTATTAAAGTTCTAACTTCTATAAAAAGATATAAAAATATGTTTTTTACATAGATGCTAAAAGTGTCACCAGGAAATTCACCACGCCCCGTCAAAACCAACCAATCAGAACCAAGAGGAGGGTCGTAACGTTGTCAATCATCCTCATGTACACGCTGCTAAATGTGCTAATGGTGGAAAAACCACCATTAGCTCCATAACAGGAAAACCATTTATCTGTTGCTATGCTAACTAGTCTTAGCAGTCAGGATTGGCTGACGGGGAAAAGCTAGCGGCGCTACATGAGATGGTGACTGACAGCGCTAAGACCCGCCTCATGGATCTGATTGGTTGGCTGGGAGAAAACAGAGGAGATCCATTTTTTCACAGATTATCCGTCTCATACATCACAACATGGTGATGACTTCAACAAATATGTAAAATCATTTTTTTAATAAAAGTTGCACATTTTTTACCCAGAAAATGATTATTTTCCCCTTTGATCTGTGAGCGGCTCAGTGAACTCTTCATAGTTTAACTGTCCAGCATGAAGACCGACTCTTAGTCTGTAATCCGTCACATTTGATCATGAGAAGCTGAATTACGTCACTGCGCCATATGCTAGCTGCTGCACCACTGCTCCCAGTAATCCCATCACAGCTGAGCCAATGAAACCCAACACCACAGTGTTTGGACCCAAGTCACTTAGATGTCAAAACAAATGCATGAAGCCGAGTTTCAGGCTAAAACCTGAGCATGTGAGGTTATAATCCCAGCTTTAATCTAGATTACAGCCACATCTGGCATGTTCCTGCATATCCCTGCTACTCTGCACCACTCAGGAGAAAAACAAAATCATTTGATCGGCCTGAAGGCAGCGGTGGGTCGAGCCAGACCCCCTGCTGGGCCGCAGGACAGAAAGCTTCCCATAAACCCCGGAGACGGCGGCCTGCGGCAGCGTGAGAACAAGACGATGATGTAACTGAGCTCCCGGCGTGCCAGGCCGCCACAGCTGCTTCACTTTCTTCTTTTCCAGCTGCAGGAATGTGACTGAGCATCAGCGGCAAGCCAAAAGATTAAACCTCCGAACTCCGAGAAACCAAAACAACCAGAACCCAGAAAACGGATTTCTCTCAGATTACTAGGAGAGCTCTTATTTGGAGCATCGCAAAGTACATTTCATGGTTCTTGGCGCTCACGCATGCTCCTTGTCTAAAACAAAAACTCCCTTTTTCATTTCCATCCTTTTAATCCCTAATTACAAAATTACAGTAGGGATCATCCTGCAGAACAGAGCTCAGGAAAACTACTTACCACTTACAGATTGCTTTGAGTTTCCTTCTTAGTCACACTTCAATGTTTCAGATCATCACATTTTAATACCAGACAGAAAAAAACGGTTTAATTAAGAAAAAAGCCATCAGAACTAATCTGCTCCTTTTTTCATTCATAAATTAACTAAGAATAACCAAATTTAATGGCTTAATTTCACCAACCTCACCCAGGCAGGATTACAGTCAGACCAAGAAAATAGTTTAGGGACTCCATTAAAACATTTAATCAGGTGAAAGGCAGCCTGTAATTAATTAATCAGCAAAAAATAAGCAACATTTTCCATTTAAAACCATTTCCAGCATCCAATCAGATCGTTTGTAGAAGCAGAAATATCCCAAAGAAGCGGCTTCATCGTCCATCACTGTTGGCGGATGTAGCCTGTGTGCTAGATATACGGGAGTACCAGAAACACACAAATACTAAGGTTCCACTCAGGACTTCAGTATGAAAAAAGGTGAATAATTTACTAATTATTTCCAAAAACATCCAGATGATCCTCCAGGCTTCTGGGAAAATATTCTCTGGATGGTTCAGATGAAAGTGTTTCTGGAAGGTGTGTCCCATAAACCGATACGGTGGGACCGTTCGCTTCAAACGGTCCGTCTTTTAAAGCCATTTTATCCCTAATAAATGTCGTTTGTATCAATTCTTGTGAAAGATTTTCACAAAAAATGTTCATCATCATAAGTATTAAGTAAAAAACGCAGCATGTTCTTACAGAAAAAAATGAGCTAATAAATAAAAATAAAACTTCAAAACAAAAACATCAGATATCATGTAGTTTTTTTTACAAAGGTTGTGCATTAGTAACATTTTAGTGATATTTGTAACATAGGAACAAAATGTAACAAAAAGTGAACTGCTTAAAAACAATCAAAAACAAAGAACTGTTCTCACTAAAGTCGCATCGTTCAGCATGAAGAGGCGATAAAAATATTCAGATTGTTCGTTAACGCCGCGTCGCTAACGAACGGCTGTTAAAGAAAAACTGACGGCTCACCTGTCTAGGAAACGTTTTTCTACCTCAGGTCTTCAATATAAAATGTTTTGATGATCTGAAACATTTAAATGTGACAAAAAGCAGAAACAGAACAAACCTTGAAGGGGGTAAATACCTTTTCACAACAGTATGGGGCGCTGTTTGTGAAGTTACACAATAAAATTTACAGCAATATTTTGATTTAATTAGTCATAAAAATGGGTGTTCATTTTTCAAAGTTATATTTTCATCATGTTATTCATTCATTTATATATGATTAATATTTAATTCATAAGCTAAATGGTGAATCATATCTTTAGTTTGGATCTATGACATTTCTAAGTTAACTTTTTTCTGTACATAAACTAAACTATTGCTGTTAACTTTTTACAGTGTAACTGTCCAAACTGAACTCAGACGTTTCCAAACCATCGGTTATTTATTAGATCTATCAGATAAACAGAGAACAGATATACGTTACATTTGGGTTATAATGCTGTTATCATTTCTCCTCAGAACATGAAGCTTCTCATGTATAAACTATGAGCTGAACTTCTTTGCATTCATAGCAGGAAGGTTGAGTAAGAAACAGTTTTAGTTCATACTTTATGCAGCACATTGAACAGAAATGAAAACTCGGATAATGTTGCAGTCAGTTCACAGTGGAAGGAGAAGCGACTTTGGGTTTAATATTGCAGGTTTATGGAAGCAGCGTGTTTGGAATATTGCTGCAGAAGCCTTCAGGTCTCACAGGAACCGTCCAGTTTAAAGGGCCGTTTCCAGTCTCTCTTCACGTTTACAGTCAATGCATCAAAAACCAGAAATACAAAAAAAAGATACATTTTTTATTTGTATCCAAAATAATGCGAATGCCAGAACTGGGCAGTTAGGCTTTTGGGGTATTAGTCCCTTGGAAGTTGCTGTGTTTTAAAGCTGCAGTTGTAACTTTTATTAAAAATATGTTCTTCACATATTTGTTAAAACAGATTACATAAGGCAGATAATCTGTGAAAAAAAAGGTCCTGCTGAGTCAGAAGCAACCAATCAAAGACAGGGGGCGGGTCTTAGTGCTGTCAATCACTCTCATGCTCACAACCTCAGCCTTTCACTCTGCTATGCTACAACATAGTCATAAATGCTAAGGCTAGTTTTTGCTGAAAAGTCATTGTACAAGAATGATGTGGCTATTCAGCCATATCGAAACATGATCAACACCCAGATGTTACTACTGGCGGAAACGCCAAAGAAGACAACAGGAAGTGGTTTTCTTTGTTGTTTTTGTGCAGCTGGCTCCACCAGGGCATCACAGTATCAGTTCATAAAAAGTTGAGTCGTTCCAACATGTTGAATCCATAATTCTCCTGTAAAATGGCCGACTACAATTTTCCCAAAACACCGCATATGTAGCTGCTCCCGAGTGGGCGGGGCTTGTTACTGAGTAAAACACTGACATCTCCTCTGATTGGCTGATGGATGATGAGCGCCAACAGCTGAATTATGAATATATCTCATGTGTTTACATCCGTCGCTGCCATGAATGACTTATGGCATTAACAAGCTTACTCATGGATGATTTGGATATAATTTCTTAGTTAAAGCTGCAGTATATAATTCTTTTAATTTGTTAAAGCCGTTTTCATGTTGTGACAGTTTATGAGACAGATAATCTGAACAGATCAATCTCCTCGCTGAGCTGCTACTGCCAAAGATTAACCAAAAACAACCAATCAGAGCCAGGAGGATGGGCTTAGCGCTGCCAATCATCCTCGTGTACTCAATGCTTAATGTGCTAATGGCGAAACAACTTACAGTTACAGCACCACCATCATCAATGGCTAATCTAACTAGCATTAGCATTCATGCCAGGATCTGTTGACATGAGACTGTGATTGGCAGCAGTAAGACCCGCCTCCTGGCTCTGATTGGTTGTTTCTAGTTGGTAGAAAACAGAGGAGCTCCATTATTTCACAGATTATCTGTCTGACACACTCACAACATGGTGACAATTTCAACAATAAAATGATATTTTCTGTGAAAGTTACAAACTGCAGCTTCAATGAAAACACAGAAATAGTGAAATTTTGGTTTTTCAACTTGAGCAAAATATAGACAAAAATTTGTTCACATTTGTAATAGAAACGCAACTACTGTCATGACATGGAGACAGTTTTATCAAATATATCAAAGCCATTTATTTCTTTTAATTAAAGTTGCAAACTGCAGCTTTAAAGTTTTGTGAAGAACCTTCAGAAAGCCGCAGCTGGAAGACTGTGGTTGTTGGCTTCCTGGAGCAGCGCCTCCATGCAGAGCTCCTTGGTTTGGTCCGGAGGCCCAGCAGGGGGCGACCCCGCCGCCTGCTCCTCTCCCTGCGGCTCCACAGCGCCCCCGGTGGCGGCGGCGGCCGCGGCAGCTGCCACCTCCTCCTTGAACAGCCGGTCGTGCTCCATCTTCAGCTCCTGGTAGGAGCGTGAGAACATGTGGAAGATGGAGGTGGCGGGGAACGCCATGATGAGAATCCCGCTCAGGATGCTGCTCAGCGCCACCACCTGGCCGGGAATGGAGCGCGGCACCATGTCGCCGTACCCCACCGTCGTCATGGAGATGATGGCCCACCAGTAGGAGGCGGGGATGCTGCTGAAGTCGTGCGGGCCGGTGAGCTCGCTCTCGGCCAGGTGGACCAGCGGGGAGAAGAGCGTGACGGCGACGCAGAGGAAGAGCAGCAGCAGGCCGAACTCCCGCGTGCTGCGGCGCACCGTCAGCCCCAGAACCTGCAGGCCGAGCGAGTGGCGCGCCAGCCGCATCACGTACAGGATCCGCAGCGCCCGCAGGATCCGCAGCACCAGCCCCAGCTTGTCCAGGTAGCCCTTTCCTGAGGAGCCGTTTGGAAAGGTGAAACTATTTATTTAGTTCAAAAGCTAAATATTTATCACTCCAGTCATATTTGCACCATGTTATTCTAATGTCTGAGTTCCAAACTAAATATTTAGCATTCAAATAGTTTGTAAATTAAATATTTAGTTGCCATTCTAAATATTTAGCTTTTTAATTAAATACTTAAACTACATATTTAGTTTGAAAACTAAATATTTAGCTTCCAAATAAATATTTAATTTGGAGAAATATGTTTTGTTCCTAACTAAATGATTAAGTCTGAACTAAATATTTAGTTTGTAAATTAAATATTTATAAATAAGTTTTTCTCTGAAGAGCTACATGAACCAGTTTTGGCTGTTGGTTTCCTCCTGGGTATTTTTCCTGACGGCGGCCCGTCTCACCTCCGCCGGGCCGGTCCGTCTCCCGGTTCTGGTCCTCCTCACTCACCACCAGGGAAACGTAGTAGGGCAGGATGGCCATGGCGTCGATGATGTTGAGCGGCCCGCGCAGGAAGTCGAGCTTGCTGCGGGCCTGGACGAAGCGCAGGACGAACTCCAGGGAGAACCAGGCCACACACACCGTCTCGATGATGAACATGTTGTAGCATTTGGAGGAACATTCGCCCTGAGGATCCAGAGACGGAAGAGGAGCGGAGTCAGGGACGACAGCGAGGAAGACGGATGGAGGGGGACACAGGAAGACAAAAGTCCTGAGGTCAGATAATCATCCATTAATAAATCATGAGTTACTAAAGCTCTGCCGCCGCACTGAGACATCACACCCACACAATCCGTCATTTATTTAATTGAGAAGACTTCAGAGATTAATGCAGCCGTCTGTGGAAGCTGCAGCAAAACCAGTCAGGTTCCCTCTGACTGCCGACATGAAACAGCAACAAAATAATAAAACCCATCAGTTATGAAAGATTTTAGGCTTTGAAGCATCAAACTAGTTTCTAGTTTTGCATTTATTGTTACACTTCGTCACAATGTTTCACTGCTGCAACCTGATTTCACCAGTTTGGTTTTAATTTTAAGACAAATGGACTGAACTTACAGAGCGCCCATCCATTTTCTTACACCCTTGTCCCTTAGTGGGGTCGGGAGGAGCTGCTGCCTCTCCAGCTAACCGGGTGAGAGGCGGGGTCACCTGGACAGGTCACCTGGACAGGTCGCCTGGACAGGTCGCCAGTCTGTCACAGGGCAACACAGAGACACACACCTAGGGGCAGTTTGGAGAGGCCAATTAACCTGACATCATGTTTTTGGACTGTGGACTGAACCCGGAGAAAACCCACCATGCACAGGGAGAACATGCATCCATGCAGAAACACCAGGGCCGGGAATTGAACCCAGAACCTTCTTGCTGCAAGGCAACAGCGTAAATATTTAGGTTTTATAATTATTTATATTTGTGCTTTTTTCATTGTTAGTAAGTAAAATTTATTTTGAGATACTAGACCTGTTAGCAGCGCTTTGCATCTATATTTTGTACGGCTTTGGCTAAATTAATGCTCTGAATGTGTTGCTATTTTTTGAGTCTCTATTTGCCGGTTAACAGCTGGAGCCACATTCACCCATTAAAACACATTTAGGCAAGAACAACGGGGGTTATGTTGCTCAGGGGCCACAAAGGGCCACTGAGGTCTGGTTCATGAAGAACCGGGTCAGAGACACGGAGCCGCCCTGGATCCAACGGATCAGAAAATGATCAGAGATCTTTTGTGTCTTTTAGCTGCAAGTTTGTTCTCTGAATAAAATATAAATAAAAATCTGCACAGTTTGAAATCTTTTTCCTGAGACCCTCCTCTCATCCCTCCCTCCATTTTCCCGTCCTTTTGTCATTGCATTCAGTCTGCATTTGTCTTTTTCTCCTCCGTCTCTCTCCATCCCTCTCCCCTCGTTTATTTCCACCTCTCCATCTCTCATTCTGTTTGCTCTGCGGTCGCCGCTCTCCTCCATCACTCTGTAAAACAGACGTCTCTACAGGACCCTTCACCCCTCCTGCTCTTGTCCTCTGTGCCGTTTCCTCGTCTCAATGCGACGCTGCGGTTGCTGCAGCTCTGCATGGCTGCATGATGCCGACATTAATCTGTTTGTATTCTTAAACGACATCAGGTTACGTCACATTTCATCCAAAACAGGATGAAGGACGTTGTTTAACACTCCGCCTCTAAAGGATTTACGCTCTGGTTCTGGCATCTGGTCTGGGAAATATACATTCGCTGCCACTTTATTAGGTACAGCCAGCCTGCTGTTTGCTTACACAAATGTTCTCACTGCAGCAGAAACGGACTGATTCTGACCTTTTCACCAAATAAAAATCCAATCTGCTCCACTTCCACATGTGGAACTAAATCATATCTGAACGTCGCATTTTATCCAACATGAGTCAAAATTCAGCAGCAGAAGAATCCAGACAGTAAATCTAAACTATGGCTGAAAATGATGATAACGAAGTGATGAAAGCAGTCTGAGTCAGTGAACGCATCACATCCCAACCGACCACTCCTGGTTCAACTCCACGTCCAAACAGAAACAAAAAAGATTAAACTTTTTTAAACAGCTCTGCAGGCGGGAGTTAGCATCACAAACTCAACCATTTTGACCATTTTACAGAAAATTTAATTTTCTGTAAAAAAAAAAAACTTTTTTACAGTAAACTCACAATTATGGATTAGCATAAAAACTGGAGGGGCTGAACAGAGCAGAATAGCTCCACATCATGCCGCCCCTAGACGGATTAGCGCCCTGGAAGGAGAGCCCTATTAACGCCCCAAATGCTCACCGATGTACCAATGCCTCAGGAAATTATTTACCCTGATCATTTTTATTTTTTTTTATGAATGACAACAAAACAAAAACAGCGTCTGAATTAAAACTGCCTTCAAACTATTCTGATGACAGGAGAACAGAAAACATTTATCTTTGCTCATATTAACGGATTTAAAGTTTATTTTTAAATTGTTGCAGATTAATGTAGTTGAATTCTGACTCATTTGCTGTTGGGATTTATTGCTTTCCGCGCCGCTGTCGGTTCTGCTGAAAAACGGACCAGATCTGAGCAGATTTCTCCAGAGGAACCAACCAGGGAATATTTAGCTTAGAAACGACGACAGATTCGATGGTTTAAAGGTTCCAGAGAGTTTCCGCTTCAATAAATCAAACCGAACTGTTAACCTTTACTCCTCTGCTCCTCAATCTTCCCTGGATTGTTTTCCTCAGACCTCTGCCAAGCCGTCCTATTAATCTGAGACGTTTCATTTATTCCCCTCGCTGCCGCTCCTCCTGCTGACGTTAGGCCCCATCAGGGCTGCCTGACCTCTGCCTGACCTCTGCAGAGGCGGCCATTTTGTTACGGCTGCAGCTTGTCACCACTGACAGCTGTGTTCGGTCCAGTTTGAAAATAAAAGCAACCACAGAGATGATAACCAAACCCAAACCCTCAGCTTATCGCCTCTGGAAGAGTCCCTCAGGAAGTGACATCACATTTCACCCAGGCAGCTTCCTCTGTGGTTTCACACTGAAGTGTGTCAAGGTCAAACGAAGACAAAAACCACCAGGAGGGGAAGAACTTTAGGAAAGACAAAACGCCTGAAAAACAACAAATAATGCAGTTCTTTACTTCCACTGTGGGATTTTAGTAATAAATATTATTTATACATACTAAGGATAGAAAAATGTTTTTTTAAGTTACAAAAATAAAGTCACAACATTACCAGATTAAAAAGGAAAAATCATCTTAAAAGTCTTAAAATTATGAGGGAAAAAAGTGATTTTAATGAGAAACAAGTTTGGAAAGAGTTAAAATCTGAGGTGAAACTTCAGTCCGTCTGGTTTTCTTTGGAATAATCGTTTAACATTTTAAAGTCCTGCTGAAATATTTATTTATTGCAAAAGCTTAACTTCACAAAATGTTCAACATTCTTCATTTTAATTTTTTATTATTTTTGATGTCGGGGAAAATGAAGACCTTATTCTGGTACCGTTATGGCTTTGTTGTTGTGATATCTCAATTTTATTGTTTTATTATGAGCACAAAGAAAATACTGCAGAACTATAATTTACCTGACATAAAAGTCAGAAACATGAAGGCAGAACCCTGAATTTAGACATTTTAACAGCAAAAACAAGTTGATGTGGGAAAATAATAAAATAGTTTGTAAAACAGACGATTCAGAAACAAACAACCTAAAACATTCTCATGTTTTATTTTCAGCAGTCAAGTTTTTCTCTCCTTATTTACATCCAAACATGCAACAATTATGACTGAAATGATTCTTCAGGTTCAACGTGATGAATTGATTATCGAGATGATCAATAATCGATTGCTAACTGGAGAATGGAGACTGCAGCTGCATCCTTAAGAGTCTAATAAACAAATGCTGTTTATTAGCAATAAGATGTTTTATTTGAAAAGTAAATTAATTATTTGCATTTTTTAATGTATTTCTAACACAAAAAGGTTTAAATGAAAAATATGCAGAATGTGGAGTTTTTGTAATCTGATAAATTGTCAGAATAATATATTTCTAAAGTATTAGTTTGCTTCATGTCTGGCAGCAGTAAACCAGTACTGGACCGACCAGTTTGACCAGACTGGGAGTGGAACTGGTGATGGGTCCGGCAACACCGATGTGCATGTGTCCAGCCCGCAGACCAAACCGTGTCGGTGAGCGTGTTGGTTTCAGCAAGTCACGTGACCGATACAGGAACTGTTTCCAAATGACATTAACACGCCAAACTGTGTTTATAAGGAAGCGAATTTGTCAAAAGCATTCTTAATCTTTTACAGCATCAACTATGGAGCAGCTTCAAAGGAAAGGTTTCCTCAGTGTGGGACCGTTTTGACTGGAAAATAAATTTGTTTTCATTTTGTTGTTTCATCCAGTTCTTGTCAGTTTCTACTTGATCTGAATCCAAATTCAGCTGAAACTGACTTTTAGTTTACTTTCATATTATGTTCTGCAACTTAAATGTCGCATGTTTAACTAAACTGTCTTATTTAAATAAATCCACCTCCTCAATGCTGAGGCATCATGAGGCATGAGAATAAAGTCCCAGATTCTGTGTGAACTGGACGTGTTGTTCATGGATCCTCTGACCGGTTAGCTCAGCGTTAGCGTAGCGTTTCCAGTCTGACGCTGACCTGCGTTTGTTTTACTGTTTTCAGATTCATTTCCTGTCAGCTCCATCGCAGCTTTCCTTGAACCTCACCGTCTCGTTCTTTTGTCTGCTGTGATGATTCAGCAGCCCGGCTGCAAACAAGAACAACAGAAATGATGACATTTCGCTTCTCAGTGAGTTTTTCGTTGCAGCAGACCTCAATCCTCTCAGCTTTGAGCAGGTTTTCCCGGCTTCAGATTAAAGAGAAGACGGAACGGAACCAGAGGACGGCTGGGGGGAAACAGGAAGATGTGTTTCTGTGTGTCGAGCCACTCATGCGTTATTAAAGAGCAAGAATCAAGTGACAACTTCATCTGTCACTTCGCTGCTCTCCAGTTACCAAATTTCTGCAGGCAAACATAATAACAGAAAGTGCTGCAGGTGGCAAGGTGAGATAAAGAACAGCAGCTCAGAAACACACTGAGCATTAAGACAACACAGCTTCACCTGCGACCGGCA